GCTTTTGTCAGGTAGTTCTAAACCTGTAAATTTTTTTTTAGTTGAAGTTAAGAGGGAAGTACCAGTGTTCAGAACAAACTATAATAGTTTGTATATTCAACATTTGAAGTATATTCTATTTTGTTGTACTCTTGTTTCAAAGTGTATTCAAGTAGGTTTTACTGAAATACAGTAAGAAAACTTAACGGTGTTTGGTCTGCTTTTTATTTTTTACTTCTTTTTTGCTAACCTGTTAAATTTCTTTTCTTATTTCAAATCTTCCAGGCATTCATCCTAATGTAGATTATAGAGTGTGAAATTTTGGGACTCCTCACTACTTCAAAGGGCTGAGCAGCTCTCTCACTCAGTTACTGTTCAAATACCCGTGAAGCTTGCTGTAGCTGGTGAGCTGCTGTAGCTTCTGATGTAGTTATTACACTTTTTCAGGCTCGTGAGCATACACTTGAACTTYGAAATACCTAACTGCTCCTCCAGCWACACCAGATATTAGCTCCACATTTCCAGTCCATGTGCATGGCTTGAAATATAATTTACCCTGTTTTCATGGAGACCACACTGGCACCTCAGCCTGTGAGTAGACATGTGCCCATGGACCCCTAATTCCTAGTGATATGCCCTGGAAGGTCTTCAGGGCAGGAACTCAGGTAATCTTGCAATTAATGAAATCTAAATGACTAAGCACTTCGTGCCTGGAGGAGCAATTTTAACATGTCTGGAACTGGGGGCTTCCATAATGATGAAAGATGCCAGAATCAAATACTTACATGCTGAGAACCAAGTTACATGTACAGTCCTAGCAGCAAGGTCTATTCTTCCCTTCAACTGGAACATACAGCCAGGCCAGCATGTGGGGGATTTTGAAAGGCTTCTGGCAGAAGTATTCTTTTTCATACTCTAAGCAAGGAAGTGGAGTTTAACAACAAAATTAAGCTGAAGTGGGTAAAAACTTGTGTAGAGGCATCAATCTCTTCCACCTGCATCAACCCAYAGAATCAAAAGTTCTTACATGTGAACTGTGTTTCTGGCATGGGGTAGAGAAAAAGACCCCTTCACAGAAGGAAGTGGAGAAGAGGATTTTTTTTTTTTTTTTTTGCTAAGAAGTGGTAAGAAAAGGAAGTAGGGGAAGCTGGGCAATGGCTTGATTATTTTGGCAGTCTGCAAGGCACTGATGTTCTGGATAAAGAGAAATGGAACAGTGTAAAGAGGCAGGTGGAACAAATCTGAGCCAAAAGACAAGAGATAAACAATGTTTTTAAAACCTTTTTAAAGTTCAGTCTCTAAGAAATAATTTTATAAATGGCTGCTACTTGATTGTGTATGAAAGAGAAGCTGTATCTCAGACCATGAAATGTCTACGTTGAGTATTTGTAATTAAAACCTTTCCAACACTTATTTTAGATACACTGGAAGTCAAATGGGGACAAACTATCTTCCTGGAATTAAGTAAGAATCTCCAGCTGATGACCTTCTCTTAATATCAAGACTTATGTAATGGCAAAAACTAGAGGAATGAAGGCATACATCTCCACTTCCAGAGGGATAGTCAGCTCATAGCCAGCTCTGAGACACTCCCAGTGCTGCTGCATCTTGCCATGGAACTGGTGACGGTCCTTTGGCTCTCTCACCTGGCCACCAGTGAGTGGCACATGATACTGGCTGCCAGAGGATATTTGCCAGGAGTTCATGAAGTACAGTGGGAATCTCAATTTGTGTGAAGATGCGCTGAAATGGAAATAGGATGTTATCCGATTTTGTAAATTAGTGTATTTTCACTGGTGGATGTGATTTTACAGGAGGATGTGACTTCAGAATGAGGGAGCTTTGGTCAGATTTGTAACACCTGAAGCAGATAAATACAAGAATATTGAAACAGTATCAGGCTATACTCCCAGGCTTTTGCAATTCCATTGAAAAACGTGTTTTGTCAACATGTGAAAGCAGGACTCCTGTTTACATTTGAAGCTGATGGCTTTATGTAGAAGAGTCCAGGCTTAGCTCATCCTTGGCAAGCAGAAAGTCTTTTAGATGTGTGGGTGGAATGAAACTTGTGTGAAGTGAGAATGCTTTATACAGAATGCATTGAGACATAATCATGGTATCACTGATTTTRCAGATAAATACATTTTAATTTTTCTAATGTAATTTTTCTGTTGTAAGTCATAGGATGAAAAGAACGATGCTGTGTAATCCACAGGGGGAAAAATTTTAACTATGAGTTGCAACTCAGAATAAATGTCTGAGTATCAAAAATAAGAAAAAGTTGAAAGGGGAATCCCATTCCAGAGCCTGTTTTTGTTAAGTCTCTCTTGGACATCTTWGCAAAGGGTTCTGGSCCTTGACACAACTCAARTTGTCTGGGTAAAGCTGAAAGGAARGCTGAGTTCTTGGGATCWTCTGCTAAGTGATTTCATCAATTTTAGGGCTTTGGAGAATTACATCTGTGGTGATCAGGGATGAGTTGAGCCAGGGGCAGTCAGGAACTGAGAAAATGGAAAGGTGCCTCAAGTTCTGTACTCAACATAACACGTGCAGCAGGGATCTCGTCTGCATGTGAAGATTGCTACTGCCTGAACAAGCTAAGTGCAATTCTGCCTTGTAGAGATAGTTCAAATAGCAGGTGTTAAGCTTGTTAAGAAGATCCAAGTGACACTATCTACTTGGGATCTAACTGTTCTCCAGGAGAGATAGTGTTTTAACAAGCTTGCAATAGCTTCTGTCTTTCAGCAAATGGAACAAGAGAGTCAGTTCTTCCTAAGGCAGCCTTTATTCAAGATGAAAGCAAGGCATCTGTAAAGATGTTTTTTAGCCTTGGTGTGCTTATAAGGCATACAGCCACAAGAAGAGCTTGGAAGACATTTTTATTGTAAGAGTCATACTGCTATATAGGAAAAAAAAATCCTTGCTGCTTCTGAAAAGTATTTAGTGTACTGATATTTACAGCTGGCAAAAGCATTTCAGTGYGCAGGTGTTCCTCTTGCTGCACAAAACAAAGCAAGAGCAATAATCCATTTAAATTTTCCAAAAGAGTGTCTGCAAAATAAATTATGGCATGTACTGGAGTAAAAGGGTGAAGCTGCCTGGGAAGTTACMAATTAATTTCTGCAGCCTGTTTACCTTTTATTAAAATACAGCAGAAAGGGTTCATCACTGGGCTGTAGCAGGGATTTTCTGAGTATGATAGTATTAAGAATTGCCCTGAGATGGGAGGAGTCCCCAGCCTTTGCAGTTATTCCACCCCCTGCTTGCCTTGAAAATTACTCTTTAAGGAGATAAAGCAGTGTCTACTGTCACATGTCCAGGATGGAAGAAGGATCCCAGACCCTTTCCACCTGAGAAGAGGTTCTGCAGTGATGGCAATATACAAATCATGCTCTTTMTCCACAGTTTGGTTTCTTGTGAGGAGAGTTAGTGTTGTAAGCAAGGGTATGAATTAAAATGTTTTAAGAATCATACAGACACCAAATACTCCACTCTGAGAGTGACCATGGGAATTCTGCAGCTGCCATAGTTCAGTTCCTGCTGGTAGAGCTTCCTGTAATCGAGCCTGTGGCTCTGTGCTCTGGCAGAGGAAAAGGTGCCACTGATGGACACCTTGACTGGCCTGAGGAAAATGAAGCTGCTTATACAAAAGTGAAATGGAATCACAGGCTATTTGGTGGGAGTGGTTGTGTTTTTGGTTATGTTTCAGTTTGTTTTTAAATACAGACCTCATTTTGCTCTCAAGTCAGGGCTTTCTATCGCAAGTGTAGTTTCTTACAGAAACTGCCAAAAGGAGTCTGGATGGAAACTCCAGCTTCTRGTGTGACTTTTTGTGGTAGATGAGCAAGGATTGACTTATTAAAGGTACCATCTTACAGGTCTACTTTGTGGGTTGATTTTAGAAGTGTTTAGCTTCAGATGACCACAAATCTCAATTAAAAGGCACTTATATTATTTCTCCTCCTTGCAAGAATGTTTCAGGGGAGGTCCTAGGAGAAAATAATCCTGAAGGAGATGCACTGCATCTCACCCCCTCTGAGCAATTAAGAGTAGCCAGCACCATGAAAAGGAAGCTGTCAGTGTCTGGTATGAAACATGGCAATGCTCAAAGGTCTGTCTTTCTGCGGGACATTGGGAGTGTTGCACCCCTAAAGTGTCCCCATTCTGGCTTGCAGGGACACAATTTTACCAGCTCTTTCTTCTGGAATTTTTCTGAAATTCCAGCCGAAGCAGGTGCTGGCACGTTGCATGAGCCTGATAAGGGTATTCACCAAGGACATTSTCTCCTTGGTTGTAAAATCCTTTCTGTCTGGGGAAAGTCAAATCCACATAAATCCCGGGCTGGTTAAAGGGGCCTCTGCTTGGAAGCAGACCATTGTCCTCATCCTGCAAGGGTCAGGAATGTGTGCAGAGTGTGTGTTACAGCTGTGCAACAGCACTTTATTTGTTTGCCAGACATGGGGTGTATTTGTGTGGGAATTTGGGACTTCCAGTTGCCAGACTCTRTTTCACTTCTCAGCAATACAAGTACAGTAATTTATGGGCTGTGTAGAGCCCAAACCTGTGGCTTTTCTTCTCTTCAAATGAGGTTTTAGAAGCAAGTTGCAGATACAACTGCTTTTGTGAGGGGCCAGCCTTCCCAGGCACACTTAGCAGCCATCAGGGAGGAATTCTTGTACCATGCTTTGCAGGACTGGCCAAGTTTGTAGCTCCACACAATTGTCAGGGGAAAATTTACAGTAATACAGTATAGGTTGCCTCACTAACTAGGAGAGTGAGCAGCTTAACAGCCAAGGGTAACTCCCTATAGACTTCTTGTGAACTTTGGACATTTCAAATTAGAGAGTGTGTGCTGTTAAGGCAAAGCAGCTATGCCACTTTGACATTAGGATTTTCCCCAAAAGATGTCTAGAAGRGGAAGCATCACCACCAACTTGAATCTCAAACCAGTCGAGACACGCCCCTCCTTGGCAATAAGAACTTGGGACAGGGAAGTGAGAAAGAGCAGCAGAGATACTACTTTTTTTCTGAAGAGTTTTATTAACAAACACCTTGAACATTTAAAAGTTACTATGCACTCTACATGGAAGTACTGATTTATTTGCCCCACYTTTCTCAACCATCTAATCTTTCTTTCAACCATCATATCCTTCTCAACCATCTAAATGTCAGCCCAACTCCAACTGTTTATCTCTCTTCCCTCCTCTCTTCCTAGGGCATCTTCCAGCATAATGGCATGTTTACAATCCATATATGAAATTCCTATGTCACCAATTAGCATCACATGAGTTACTATACTAACACACCTCTGTTGTAGCCCAGATGCTTGGGCAGAGTTCCCCTCAGCCTCCTGAACACTGTTGCTGTACGATTTTCAATCAGATGCAGGATCACCAAATTCTCTCAATAAATAAATTTTATCTTCTAACAGGTTCCAGTGAAGCTTTAGATTCTGATGATAAATAAAAGAAAATCTTTCGACATTAAGACTGGCCCTTTACTGAAACAGCAAGATTGACAAGACTGCAAATTTAAAACATTTAGAAAACCAATACTCAAAGCAGAAGAAGAAACAGGCTCTGATTATCTGCATCCTCCAGAGGGAAGCACAGAAGAAACGAAGAGCCACTGTGTACATACCTACACGCTGTATCTGTGTGACAGAGACACACATTTTTCTGGAAAAGTAGGGGTGTTACTCTGGGTCACCATCAACCTCTGTTTCCTCACCTGTTCCTCCTGGAGGGGGCCTTCCTCACACTGCACTACGATCCATTCACTTCTAAGGAATTTGTCATCTCAGGTCGTGCAAATAGTAGCTCACACTACTATGAGCTTGGCTTTGCCTAAACTGCATTAAACTTCCCTCATATTGCAACAGTAAAAGATTTTAAGAGAATCTCACTAGGTAGTTGAACCTCACTCTTTGGTACTTGTGCAGAAGCTTAACATGAAATAAAATTAGCATTCTGTCGGGACAAGTTGTTTTACAAACACAAGTGTTTTGATTTAAATGCTAAGGCCTCCAYATTCATTAGAGGATTAAATCCCTAAATGGGGGCTTAGTGAAAGGATAAAGCTCATTTGCCTTCTAGTTTTCCAACCYTGRCATGGCAAGAGACCATGACAAAAACACTGCCTTCTTTCTTCCTCCCTCAAAGGCTGCACRTTAGTAAGGACTGAACAGCAASTGTAACTCTGAACAAGTGCTTGAAATAATTGTCAGTCAACAGTATTTCCTGATCTTTCAAAAGCATCCAGCTTTAAAGGTTTTCTCTAAAATAAAAGAGTGGTGAGTTCAGACACTGCAATACCAGGTGGCCTTCCAAGACATTACAGCAGTCTGTCAGGGTCTTGATTAAAACTGAAGTCACACACAAGGGACAGGTGATCRGAAGGGTAATTGAATGAGGGCAGCCTGTTGGGCCCAATTTGCTCTTCAGTCAGCAAGCCCAGGGCTGAGTTCACGTTCAAGGCATGCTGGGAATACCAGATATAATCCAGTGTGTGTCGGCACTCTCCCGAGGGCCGGATCTTCCACGTGGTGTAGGGGGGCTCTGACTGTCCATCGGGGCTCAGCAGCTTGTATGCACTGTTTAAATTGAGGCTGGAGTTGGAAAACTCCCTGTAGACCTCCTCAGTTGGCTCTGCATTGAAGTCTCCACAGACGATCARGGGGATCTTTGCTCCTTGGGTGATGTTCTTCAGGTTCTGGAGGAGGTCACACCCCTGTGCAGAACGGAACCTTTCCCAGCCCGTGCGGGCTTTCAGGTGSGTGACAGCAATGCAGAAGAGTCTCCCTGTTTCGTGGCACTTCAGTGTCTGAGCAATGGCCACCTGGTTGGTCTTCAGCTTCATGGCAGTCAGGCGGATGTTGGCGCTGTTGACGAGCTCGAAGCGTTCCTTGAGGAAGAACATGGCGCAGCCRTCGGGCCCGTTGTTCCGCTCCACGTCCAGGCACGGCGACCACGGCTTCGGGAAGAAAGTGCACTGGTAGCCCAAGCGGCTGAGGAGCGGCTCAAAGGTGTCRAAGTAGTGGTCAACTTCCTGCAGGCACAAGATGTCGGGCTTGTAGGCAAGGATCTCCTCCAGGATGAGGCATTTCCTCTCCTCCCATTTCAGAGCTTCCATGGGGCACTGAACAAAGTTGTCTTTGCCTTCCCCAAGAGCTGGAATGAAAAGGAAAGGGGGAGAAAAAACCCAAAAGTTACTGATAGCTGAAATAGGCTATCATSCTCCAGGTTTTTATCAGTTTACATGCAGGTCGTAGGTTTTCAAGAGTAGCTGGTGACTTTAACAGTGCCAAGTTTGCCAATGGGTGTGAGAACCCCTTCTCGAGCCACTCAAAAAAGAAGTTCCTTTTACAGATACAAGCTATATTAAAGACCTCCTCCCCCTCTGCCCACTACACAAGGTCAAGTACTTCCACATGTGGCTGCTGCAGCTTAAGTTTAAATAAAATAAAGTGATTTAACTGTAGAAGGTTAAGGCAGTCCCTATGAGGGGAATTTCCCACCCCAAAACATTTTAAGATGAGGCTGTTGCACAAGTCAATTTACAGCWTTGATTCAAAAGTATCAGTTAAAATTATTTTTAAGCATTAAGAATTCCCATAGCAGATCTGAATTCCTGGATAGTACACCAACAAAGTAATCAGAAACTAAASAGAAAGTTTATAAAGAATAAAACTCAGGAAAATTATGAGTCTTTTCTGGGCCTAACRATTACCTAAAACTCATGGGTCCCAGCATTTAGAATACACTGTGTTCAGTTAGGACAGGAATTCAGGGCTACCTTTGGCATCAAGAGTTGCAAGGAAAGACCTTTTTTTCTTTTCCTATAAGACAAAAGGCAAGCCACTATTTCAAGTGCTCACAACATTCCCCCTGGCCCTCAGTCAGTTGTACCTCATGCAGTTCACTCCTCTCCCTTTGCCCTGACAGGGTTTTCACTGCTGCATTTGGTCTCAAGGTCATACTTTGAGTTCACAAGCATCTCCTACCTTGGGCCAGGATGTTCCACTGCATGACCCGGATGGGGCGGTGGTTACTGGCAGCATTTTTCTTCAGATTCACAAAGTTCCTCTGAAACCGGGGYGGCCGCTTCTGCAGAACAATCTGACACTCCTCCAGCAAATCCTTGGGGTCTATAGGATCCAGCTGTGCTGAGTCCAGCTGCTCCAGGCAGTCCTGGTGCTGGGACACGGCACCACTGCTCAGCGTCTTGGCGAGCACGCTGTAGAGCCGGCTGGTACTGTTTCCCATGGAACACACTGCAAGGGAAAAATTGGTGTTAGAGATGGTCCACTAGGACTCTTGTCACCACTTGGGTGCCTTGTTGCAGTGCCAGCCATTGGTGATTTGTGTAATAGCCCGTTCCTGAGTCTGAGACAAAACAAGGATGCAAAGTCCTGTCCAGTCTCAAGTTCTGCCTRTCATTGGGGGCTACAGCCTACAAATGGCCTGGTTTAAGACATGATGCTGCTGTCTTCTAAGGCAACAAAGAAATCTTTCAACCRGAACAGCAGGGCTCTGCACATACAGGAAATGGAACAGAACACACTTCTTCCCTGCTCATAGAGGACAGAGCCCACCAGGTGGACAAATGCTGCTTGCTACTTACTTCATGTGCAGCATTTGCTTCTGGTGGAGATGGCACTCTATATGGCCTGGTACCCTGTGCCCATCTGGGATGCCTCCAGGCTGCAGAGCAGCCAGCAGGGTGGCTCATTCCCTTAGGTTAATATTTAACAGGAATCTCTGATCACAGCATCATTTATCCCCAGAGCAGTAATGCTGTCATAAGCATGAAGCAGCCAGACCATTCTGCTGGCTTAGGCCTCAGGATGTAGAGTGGAGAAGGCAATGTCTGCAGCTCCCCCTCACATCCATATGTTCTTTCCCCTCATTCTCCTTTCTCCCTTTATCTCCTTGCTTCTTTGTGCTGTGCCTCAGCTCGACAGCTTTCTCTGCTCCCTGCAGTCCTCTTTGGGCAGCTGCTCCTCACCCAGCCCCGTTTCCTACAGGGAGGTCCCCCCACCCACATGGGGTCACAACTGTGCATGTATCCCTGCTCTGTTTTGCCCCTTGGCTTATACATTCGTGGTATTTCTGCACCATGTGTGCCCCAAGAGCTCTCCAACCCTTTCTAAGGGAGAGGGCTTTGCCCCTTCAAACACAGGCAGGAAGSGCAGTGCTTGCACCACAGCAACTTGCATAAGAGGCAACGCTATGTTTTGTTGTTGTCTCAACTTATTTATTTATTCTGCATGCCTTTTGCAAAGGGAATCTTAAGCAAAAGAACTATAGTGTTGCACTGCTGTTGGCCCACAGTGGTTTTTAAGTTTATTTGTACATCTGAGTTACTCAAAAAAGGAAGAGCATGAAATTGTCATTCTCCTGCTCACATCTTGCATCACATTTGGGGCACTACCMAACACATCTCCATGTGCAGACTGAACGACAGCATTACCAATTGTAAGAGCTGGTGACAGAAGCACAATTATGACAGGCAGAWAGATGGAAACTCTAACAGTTCAACAGACACACTCAGGAGGAAAAGAAAGACTGCAGTATAAGCCTCATGTCCTTGTATTTAGGAAAACAGATACTTTTAAAAGACACTAAAAACTACTTGCTTTAACATGTGTTTTGTATATGTGAGYCCATGGAACAGTTCTAAGAAAGTTGTGAACTGGGAATTTAGATTGGATGTAGGATGTTTCTCCTCATCTGCATCCTTTTAAAAGTACCAGGAATTCCTCAAACTGAGATGTGATCTTGAGCTCACACACATGAACGTCTTCCCAGGGAAACTATGTATRGTGTTTCAATTTCTACAGTCTTTCTCGGTTTACAGTTCTTCTCAAGAAGCCAAGTACTGCTGAAGTAGAAGAAATGGCATTCAATGTTGAAGAAAAACAAAAAATCCCTAAGCAGGACCCTAACATGGCTGTCAGGGGGGAAAGGGAGCAGGAATGAAAGCGTGCTCTGTGCTGGACACGGAAGGGTATAGTGTACACACAACCAGGGCTATCATACAGCCATGCAGAAACCCAAAGAAATCAACAGAGCTCTCAAGAGAASCTCCACAGGGACCCACTCACCTATTTTTAGGGTAAGCACAACCCATAGTTAAGTGCTGCAACGGGAGATAAGAACACAGTGTTTTCTGCTGCATCAGGAATGCTGTCAGCAGCTAAGTACAGCCCCTGGCATTCCATGGATGAACATGGCTCACGTGGGGCTCTCCAAAGGAATACTGGGGAATTATTGCTCTCCAAGAAGCCATTAAACAAGAACTTAGGCTGCTTGTGGCCTGCCCTGAATCAGAGGGATGGTGTTGAAAGGGACAAGGTAGGTGTAAAGCAGCTGGAGCCAAAGGTCTGCTGGCAAAGCCCTGAGCAGCTTACAGCTGTTAAAGCAGGATCAGGGCTAAGTTCAGCCTCCACCTGCCAAGCTGCAAACAAAGCCAGAGTATTGTCTAAATCTCATCATCCCTGGCAGATCATGGGGCATCCAGTTCTTTATGGGGCATAAAACATAGTCAAACCTGTGCTATGGCCCAAACAGCTTTTAAAGTCAGTCGTGTCTCAGGAAGGAAAAACAGCTTCAGTCTTCTTTTGAGGACCCAGAGAAGATTGTGTGRAAGGGGGTCTGGACTGTAAATTAAGCACTTTCAGTACTGGTATAGGCAGCTTGAGAAGTCTTGGCTGAAGGAGTGGGCTCCTTGGGAAGACTCCAGCCTAAGATGACTGCTGATTACACAAGTTCTTTGTCCCCAAAGTGCTGAAATCATGACAGCATAGACWGAGGTGCTCTGCAGAACAGTGGCCAGACCAACAACCTGAACATGGAAACTTCAAACACAAAATCCATTTTGATATTTCTGCAACGCTGAACGATGTCCACAGTACTCAGGCTTACAGTACAAGTACAAGGTCAGCAGTCCAAACTCTTACAGTGCAAGTTAAGTGACCTGTAACTTGCTGGGATAAAGTGTGCTGCCAGTGCTGTGTCACTATGGCACTGGTGCAGGCAGAGGAACAAACAGACTCCTGAGCTTCCACTGTAGCAGTGGGTAGTGAACATGAAAGTGATGTAACAGGGAACACCTGCTCAGCAATTACTATTCAAAGTGCTTAAAATCAAAAAGCACCTTCCTCTCAGCAAAGATGCCACCTCAGCATAGYAATGGTAAGGGAAGAATTCAAACTGTGAATTAAATATAAGAACAGTGTAAAGTTGAAAGGTTTCTTGCATCATCCAGCACAGAAGAGATTAAGTTCCAGGATCTCAAGCAACAAGCTGTCAGAGACTTTATTTTAAGGACTTTGCTTYGGAGATGAGGGCTGCAGAGGGGTATTGGGTGCTGACCTTTTGGGTAAGGTAAACAACATTCTCATTTCCCTTCCTTTCAGGTCATACCTCAGAAGCCCCACCTTGTTTWCTGCAAGGCTTTCCCTGACAGGTGAATGGCTTTACACACCTGCAGCCTGGCCTGGAATTGCTTCAGAGGCTGGCAGCAGCTASAGATGCCCTCCCTGGAACCCCAATTCTAGGAACAACTTAACAAATGTCATCCCCTTGTGACAAATTCTGTGCTACAGGGTATCACACTACATGCACAGCCTTGTTTGGTACAGCAGTGAGAGCTCCTCAAAGCAAGGCAGGAGCTGCCTGTTCTCAACAGGCAACACCAGAAAGAGGGAACCTCAAATCCTGCCTCCAGCAATATACAGAATCAGTACTTGGCACAAGCTCTGGAAACCTTTTTCCTAATGAGTGCATAACCATGAGCTTGATTCTGCCAGCTCTCAGACACATATGCTCCTCTTCCCTATAGTGCCATGAAGCTTCAATTTTGCCATACTGGCCATCCCATTGAGGGAGGGCTGGAACTAGATGACCTTTAAGGTCTCTTCCAACCCAAACCATTCAATGATAAAGAGCTATYACCTCTCCCACCAGCAGCTGTGTGAAGCAATGGTGGCTGCTGCCCTAAAGCCCCGGCTTTCAGGAGGAATGACGCTGGGTGTGCATTCTGAGCCATTGCCACAAAACAGAGGTGGCTTTAGGCTGGATCYGAGCATCACTGCCCTGCTGTGGGTCTGGTGGCACTTAGGGGGCACGGAGTGGGGCACACGCCAAAATGTCTGCACAGGCACGGAAGGACGTGGGCACTTTCCAAATCTCATGTGGGGAATGAAGAAAGGAGTGTAATTAAAGGTACAGGCAAATAAGGATCTGATGGCTGCTGCTGCCTGCCGGAGGGTAACCTGGACTCTTCCCACACAACTCTCTTGAGTGAAAAAAACCCACCGTGAGTCAAGCTCGTCTTAAACAAATTGRCAGCTGAAGAGGACAGCTCAGCTATCCCGAGAGCACGCTCCTGACAGCGGCATGTGGACATATGTCCCACATGTCACCCCACCGATACCCGGGGTCACTCCAAGCCCCCAGCCTACGTGTGGGGACAGAGGGTGCCCTGTCCCTCCGCTGGAGGACACCGAGCCAAATCCTGTGCACACCGGCGGTGCTGCGGCATGCTGCCCGCTCACACCGGGTGGGCGAACGCCACAGCGCTGCCCTGGAGCCCAAATGCCGGCCTAGTCCCGTAGAGGTGGCTGGCGCAGGGACACGGGGACACGGCACACCCTGCTGTGGGCTGTGGGCAGGGCGGTCCAATGCCGCTCCGACAGCAGCAGCCCAGTGCCCGGCTGTGACCCCGCCCGGTTCTCCGCACCCTCCTCGGTCGGTACCCACCTGTGCGGGGCGGCGGCCCCGGGGCGGGCGGGCTGCCCGCGGGTGCCCGTGGGGCGGCGGGGCCGGGCGGGAGCGCGGCGGGCACAGCCCCGCGGGCACAGCCCCCGCCCCAAGCCCGCGGCCCCGGTATGTCGGGGGCTGTGTCGGAGGTTCTGTCGGGGTTGTGTCGCNGGGCGCGGGGCCGCGGCAGGCGGGAGGCCGAGGCGGCGGCGGGAGCGCAGCAGAGGGCGGGCAGCGCCGAGCAGAGGCAGCGTGCGGGGCTCTGGTACATAGTCCCGGCGGGACGGAGCAGGAGCGGCGGGATCGTGCGGCACCGGGCGGGAGGGAGGCGTGCGGCTGCTCCCACGCCCGCCCGGCTGCCGCGCTTATAGAGTCAGCGGCGCCCGCGCCSGGCGTACATCGGGCACTACCACCCGCGCTCGGGGGGGTGGACGAGGTACAAACAAACACTCCCGGCAACGCCACCCGCACACCGAGCCCGCCCGCGGACACCGRCGGGGCGCTGCTTCCCGCGGCCGGCCCGTGGCTCCCGCTGTCGCTGGCGGATACCGCTGCGCCGGGAAGAACGCGCCCCCCGGCCGCTCCCGGCTCCCCTACCCCGCCGTGGGGTGGTGCGGCCCGGAGGAGGTTTCCCGCCGGTGATGTCACAAGGGGCGCCCTCCGCTCCCACAGACGTCACGGCATGATGGCGGCCCCGCCCCGCCCTGCCGGGGACAGCGGGGACAGCGGGGACAGCGCTCAGGTGGCGTGGGGACCCGTAGGCAGCCGCACAGGCCTTTGCACCGCTGGGGTGAGGCGCTGGGGTGCCTCGCCGAGCCCCGCGCATCCCCTTCCCGACGCTCGTTACGCCCTCAGGACCGCATGCAGTGAAGGATATTCCCTCAGCGCAGCACCCGCACATGCCTTCCCCTGTGGGAGCCTGCGGGGCGCTGGGTTGAGGCAGAAGAGTGAAACAGCCCCCGATAAGGAGGGTCTGGGCTCCAAGGCAGGGAGCTGGGGGCCTYTTTGTTGGGTACTCTTGTTCCCTCCGCCTCCCGCGTCGCCTTTGCCTGCAAGGCCTTGTGTCGCTCCAGAGGGGCCAGGGGCAGACCAAATTCCTGTGCTGAAATTAGGGCAGCTAGTCTGAACAGGCTTCCTTATGAAAATGCGACTTTTTTTTTGTTTCCCCAGAAATACTCGGTACTGTGTGTGTTTGGCAAACTGGAGAGGGGGCTTGGCGAGGCAGATGCCTTCTGTGAGGGATGCTGCTGCAGGAATTAGGGCATGCTGGCAGCATGGCAGCCAAACCTGGCTCTGCTTAAACGCACCTGGCTCATCCCTGTTTTCCTCAGGCCTTCACTTGCCAGGGACATGGCCTTAGGGCACGGCCACTGATTCATGGGCGTTGATGTTCTGGTGTCTACTGTGTTAAGGTTCCTTTTTTTCCAGCTTGCTGCCTGCTGGGCTTAGGGTGATTATAGCCTTCCTCTGGAGACAAGAGAGAATAGTAGAAACCTATAAAGACCTCCAGGATCATCAGGGTGGAAGGTTTTGTTTAGGGCCTGAGGGTGACCTTGTTTTGCTGGGCTCACAAGCCCCAGCAGTGCAGTGCACCAACCATACAACAGGATGGGAGACACTGGGGGGACACCCAGGAACAGGGGCATTCAGGAGGCTGAGGATGCTCCCAGTCCTGTCACATTAACAGGGGCATTCAGGAGGCTGAGGTTGTTCCCAGTCCTGTCACATTAACCCGATGGAGTCAACAACCCAGCTCTGCCATTGCCAGACAGCTCAAGAAGGAATCAATATGAATGAATGGTGATCCTCAAAAGTATGATGCAAGCACTAAAAAAGAGCGTTCCAGAGCAACCTCAGAACAGTTGTCTCAGTTCAGCAGCATCACAGGATAGGCTCCACTGCTGAGCAGAAGTCAGATTTTGGAAAGGATCTTACCTCAGTTCTTTTTCTTGGTGCTGTCAGGATGTATTACCTGCAAGCTGCCTGTGTGGGTGATGTGTGACCTCGTTCCAAGCTGCAAGCAAAGGCAATTTCACAACTGCCCCAAGCTCCCAGAAAACTCTTGTCTGTTTTGTTTTTGGGCACAATTGTTAGCATGCCTTTGTGTACAGGGGAAGGGGTATTCTGCAGTGGCTAAATTGGTCTGCAGGACTGGAAGCAAATGCAAGGTGCCATCAGAAAGAGGGGATTTGTCTTTTCCACTGGGATGTCATGAGAGCTCTGACTTTCTAGGTGCTTATCTTTTCTAATCAAAACAGCTGATTCCTGCTTTTCCCAGTGCAGGAACTGTATCTTGGCTTTGCTTGGGCAACACTGGTTGATCCCCTGTCCTTGTGGCAGCCTTTTAATCTRTTTGCAGACTGTTTTTCATGGGCGTAGTCTTTAATTTTCCCCTGTAAAAATAAAYGTGCTTCTTTTACATCATGTCTTCTAAATCTTTTCTTACTGCTCTCTCCTCAGGCCCCAGCTCTTCCACACTGTCTCCTGTGCACAGCCCACCACAAATCTGCTTGTCTTTCTTTGTGATACTCTCCATTCCAGCCACATTTGTCATTGTCATTGTCAGGTCGTTTCCCATCACAATTTTCTTATAGTGCAAGGAACTTAACCTTCCCTTTTGAGGGCAGGTGCATTGTTTTTCTTTCATCATCTGGTACCCCTCTTCTTGGATTTGCCTGGATTTTGGAAGGCACTTATTAGGGGTTCAGAGACAACTTGGGAGAATATCTAGAGTCTTCTGGGATGATGGAGGTTRSTGTTTCTTCTGYCCATCCTCTACTYGCTTTGCTTCTCTGCTTCAGACTTYTTTGTCTCATTTCTAGARCTGGGTTTRATCCTTGTACGATTYKRATGCTTTGGACCCTCTTGGCTCTGACTGATTTCATCCCAGTTTCCHTCCTGGAGGCTTGTGCTAATTCTGTTGTTCTCATCTGTAATTTTATCTATTTTTGTTCTTCATTACTTTTTTGATTATCAAAGCATAGATGGTTGTAGTTTCATAAGCCCTCTACCGATGGTGTTTTTTTCTCTCTATGCTTCTTTTCTCTTAAAAATACATGTACGGAGCAGCTGAAGTTTAGAAGATGGGTCCTAGATCTTGGTGTTTAAACTTGCACCTGGCTGCCCTTCGTAAGCAAAATACTCTAATGTAAATGCTTTTAAACAGAGTGAAAACCCCAAGAAAGATAATTAAACAGCAGGTAGGTAATTAGTACCCTAGTACCTTTTTCAGTTTTGTTTTCTGTAAAATGAAGTAGAGAGTGCTGGGAGCATGGGGGAGAAGCAGCTGGAGAGCCTGGGAGGGAAAAGGCTGGAGCTTGGGTTTCTCTGCTTTCAGGCATGTRGACCACTCCTTGAAGATGTCTCAGCTCTGATTCATATCCTTTCCACTTTAAATATGCACAGAAGAGACAGAGACTTGGCTGCCATACCCAGGAGCCCTGGTTCCTTGCTGGACTCTGCACCTGGCTGGGCTTGTCTGCTTTCAAGTCTGGGCCGCATTATCAGAAGGGAAGACTTGTGACTAAGAATTTATTTCTTTGCTTGTTGTGCATGAACCTCTGTAACCAGCTTCTTTCAGAAGACTAGACACTTCTGTAAGGAAAGAGTGTTTAGTGATCCAAGGAATCCTTGAGGTGTCCCAATGGCCCTATTATTTCTTCTTTTGGCAAAGAAAATCCCAAACACTAGTGGCCAAGAGGATAGGTAGCCTGGGTTTTGCTGCTGACAGATTAGAGACTTGGTGACAGGGAAACTGCTGGCTTTGTGCTGGCTCCTTGAGCGGGAGATGAGGCAGCTGGGTCCATCTCTGAGCCCTAAGTCCTCAGCTCCTGGCAGGAATTTGCTGGCACTGAAGTGCATCTTATTCTGATGGTTCTCTGTTCTGCTCTCCTGCCCCATATGAAAACCCTTGGGTTTTCCCCAGAGCTGGTTGCTCATCCTCCTCACCTCCTGTTGCAGCACATTTCTTGGAGCTGCTCAGCACCCAGCAAGCTCAGCAGTCCTTCAATAACCAATGAGTGGCAGTGCAATATGTTTGTTATTCMCTTTATTTCTCTGATGACTCAAGTAGCTGGGTTTAGGCCAAACCGCCTCTTCATGTGATCTCCAAGGAGGAAGGACAGAAGGTTTCCTGCTTCCTGCTGTACTGAATGTGCTTTTCTCTGTTCTTTTGAGTGCTGGCTTTCCTTAGTTCTGTGTGCCCATGCTTGCATGACAATAACGAAGGCATTTGTGAAAGAAACAAAAGTTGCTGGTGATGCATGAAGCTGTTTTCCACACATACCACTCTGTTCCCAGAATTTGGACTAGTGGTGATTTAGCTTYGAAATGTGAATCAGTGTTTGCTTGGCATTCCTTGGGGTGATTCAAAAGTCCTCTTAGCCTTCTATGGAAAATAAAAGCCTTCTGAAAATACACAAAAGATATGACTAATTTTAGGTACATGTGACTTAAGGAAAAGAGAGAAGTTTCTTCATTAATTTATCTCAGCTATCCCGTGTGCATCTGACTGATGTTTCCACGAACTGGGAGCAGTGAGAAAATGGAGAGAAGGGGTCCTGGTCAAAGGGTGCATAGGCTATGAGAAATGCTTTTTTTCTGAGTTTTTTACATGTTCTTATGCTGAAGATGCTGATGTTTCAAACATCCTGCCCAGACTGTTAATCCTTTTCCAATGATGCAGAAATCACAGGACCAGCAGGCTGTTGCTACTTATTAAAAAAATATGACTTTGAAGTTTTTCCACATCTAATAAAAGCAATGATTTCCACAAACTCTAATTCCTTGGGATTAGTAATGGTTCTGAGGATAATGATCCTTCCACCTCCTTAGTCACTTCCTCCCACCCGGTCATCCCTGTGTCAGGAAAGCATTTGTGCTGTGTTTGATACTGCTGCTCTCACTGCCAACATTTTAAGATTGGAAAAGCATTCTCTGAAAGGAAATTGCCATCTCTGGGGAGATGGACAGCAATCACCGGAGTGTCACAGTGATTCAGTGTCTCAGTGAACTGGAGGAAGTCTGTGGCAGTTTGACTCTGTGCAGCACAGATGGTTCTGAGCGTGGTGGGTTTCAACTTCCTGGAGCACACAATATCCCAACACCTGATTTATCCCATGAGCAATGCCATCACGTGGAGTGTGGCTACTTTCCTGTGGGATGCCTTGTGCTCCCCAGGATGCCCTTTTTCAGGAATCCTTCACCTCCCCAACATCATGCTGCTCTGGGGCTTTCTCCCTCCCTGGGCAACTGGCTGCCAGTGCTTGCCTGCTCTCCCCTCCCTGCCTGAAGTGAAGGAGGGCGGAGATTTATGTGTTTAAAACAGGCAGCAYTGCCATAGAGAGCTGAGATAGC